GAGGCAGGGCGGGGCGTGGGAGGCAGGGCGGGGAAGTGGGGCTGGGATCCTTGATGCTTCCTTGGGAAATCACTGGCTCGTGGGCTTGCAGACCGTCACCGCCCTCCCCAACCTCCACGGGATTTTAATGAAGGTTTTAATGAAGTCTAAGGCCCGAGGCTTCCCGAGATAATCCCACGGGATGTGGACTCAGGCTTTCTCGGGAGAAATGGCTAATGGAGGAAGAGGATTTCCTAAAAAGGTCCCAGGGATCAGCGTCACTTTTTCTCTTGCGGAGCCGCAATTGTTTTGCTCTCTGGGCAGAGGGCTTGTTGCGTATTTCTGCCTGCATTCATTCCAATTAACTGTCCTCGGTCATTTGTACTCAGGAAGGTGTTACAAGACACAGGCCCCTCAGAAGTTAAGAAATTAATAAATAACCAAACTAAATGGGGACATATGTCAAGAGAGTATGGCTCAGCTGCAGAGATTTTCATTGTAAGAGAAGGGAGAAGGGATTATGCTGTTTTATGAGCTAGACTCTCATTCTGGAGCTAACCTGTGTCCGTAAAATCTTACTTCCCATTGCTGTAGTCACAAGTTTACTACTTCAGCAAAGCTGTGCCTTTCCTCAAACCCAGTGTCTCTACCTTTGGTGCCTTTTCCTTTATTTTCTCTTAATGCAAGGCCCATTCATATCCCAGGACTTGGGACCCTTCTTTGAGTATCCCAGCCCAGGCATGATTTCTCCTTCTTCTGAACTGTGTACAGCACCTATATATTTATATTTTAATATACTTTCCTATGTCATTAATTTGATTAAGTGATAGGAATATATATATATGTATCCCCAGTACCATACAGAAGACCTATAGGGGCCAAGCACTTTGTGTGTACTTGCTAATATAGAGGCAATAAAGTTGTATTCTTACTGACTTTGCTTTGGGAGATATAAAAGTAAAAGGTTTAACTTTTGCCCTTGAAAAAAACTAATGCTTTGATTAAAGGGAAGGACTTTGATGAAACACTTGAAGACCTATTGAGGACAATATGAGTATAGCTTAAATCCAAAATAAGAGAAAGATCACGGTGGCCTATAGTTAGAAAGGTTACCCTTACAAATTTGGTTTTAAAATAAACTGTGAGGAAATTGTAAAGTTTAAACAATCAAGCATTTCAAGTTGGGCGGCAGAGGCAGGAGAAGCAGGAACAAAGAAATGAAGATGGCATGGAACAAGTGTAAAGTATTGTGCTCATTGAGCCAGTGCTAGCCACATAGTAAACATTTAGATTAATTAGGACTCGGTTGCACTTATCAGAAATCCAATTGCAACGGATTTAAGGGAGAAAAAGTTAGTGAATTTATTGACTTACAAAACTAAAAGGTGCAGGATAGTTAGATTTCAAGGATATCTGGTTACAGATAATCAAATGATAGTTTCAGGGATCATTTCTTTTTCTATTTTTCTGACTTTGCCTCTGAGAAAAGAGTGTTTCTGTTTCAGTGATAAAAAACCTAATTCTAAATGACTTAAGAAAAAAATTTTTTTTGCCTTACATAACCAACAAGTTCAGAGGTTCTACTTAATATAAGAAGTCCAACAGTACATCTAAGAGACATTTCAAAAGAAAGAAGTGAGGCAAGGTTCAAAGAAATAATGGCCAATAATTTTCTAGACTTGAAAGATGACTCTAGATTGAAGAAGCAAATCAAGTTTTGAGAAAACAATATATACATCATGATGAGTTTAAGCAAAGAGAAAATTTTAATGATCTAAATAACAGCAGTTAAAACATAAGCTATTTACAAAGAAATGACATTTAGACTGGATACCAAATTCACAAAAAATATATGCTGAATATATATATACATACATATAGATAGATAGTAGATAGATAGATAGATAGATAGATAGATAGATAGATAGATAGATAGGTAGGTAGATAGGTAGTACTGTGGGGTAACTATTGACAGCCTAGAATGTTATAACCAAGTGAATCATCACTCAAAAATGAGGATGTGGTGTAATGCATCATTGCCAATCCAGACAACATACTGATCGACTCTAGCCCCTTTCCATCATGCTCAACTAAAGATTGAAGTCTCAGGGATGTAGAAAGAGAGTATTCATAAGTCAAAAATATAAATGGATTCTAGAAAGATGGTGGTACATGAATTTTGTATCTCCATGAATCCTCACATAAAAATAGTAGATAGAAAACCCCAAAATGCATAGAACAATATTTACAACAAAACTAGATGACAGATAACACCACAAACCCCAAATACAGTATGGTTGGGTCAAATCACAAATTCAAAACTTGCATAGTGTCAAAGCTGAAAAATCATATCAAAACTGTAATGATATTAAGAAAATGATAAGACATGAAAGAGAAAACTCAATAAAAACCCATAAAGTAACAGAACTTGGGATAGAATTAGAAATAAAAGGAAAAATGATTTCAGAAAAGAATAGTAAACTAGAAATAACACGGTAGTAAACAAACACAAAAGAGAACTCAAATTTGAAATGAGATTTTCTTAAGTCCAAAAAAAAAATATAGACATAGAAATGATTTGAGAGAAATGATAAATATTGAAAATAAGCAAAGAAGGTCCAACATATGGATAAAGTGTCTCTAATAAAGAAAACCAATCTAGCTAACAGAACAAATACAGCACATCATAATTCAAGAGAACTTTTCCTGCAGTAGAAACATATATATTTATATATATTTGCACATATGTTATATTTACATATTTCATATGTATATTCATATATATTTGAAACTTCATATTGAAAGAGCATATCTGGAAATATTGAGAATGAACAAGAAGATGTATTCTAGTAAAATTACTAGACTTACATTTTTTTTGAAAAGTAGTCATTTAGGCCAAAAAAAGTAATTTATGAGAGACAGACAATTTAACTATCATAAGATATGAACATTCACACTTCATGTGAGAAGAAAATGGTGAAACACTTAAAATATTGAAAGAAAATGAGAACCAAGGACTTTGCATACAGCAAAACTGACTTCTAAGTATAAAAGCATAAACTGATTTGTTATCAAAATGAAATAACTCAGAGAATGTTATTCACTTGAGTTTCTCTTGAGGAACCTACTAGAGGATGAAGCTCAACAACCAAAATGACTGACAGACAGTGACAGGACAGTTGGTAAACATTAAATACTCAATAACATCTAGAACTAAGACTAAATGAAGGTTTGTTTCAGTCAGAGTCTAGTTAAGAGAGAAAAATTGCACAGTAATTTGAACAGAAAACATTTACTATAAAGAATTGTTAACAGAAGTGGAGTAAAGCGGGGGTTAGCTAGTAAGAGGCAAACATAACTCCAGCCATATAGGAACAGTAGATGGAGCAGCCACTACTTCTAGGACTGAAATAGAGTGGACAAGGAAGAGCCCTCCCCACTCCTCTACCTGGCATCTCATTGCTGGAGAGGGCATGACTGTGGCTCCTGGGTAAGGAAAGTTAACTGAGGTGTGACTTCAGTGAGACTCATTAGAAATCCTCTTTCTGCAGTCCTGAGAGAAGCTTTCCACAGGGAAGTGCCTTTATTACAGAACTCACTGCAAAGTATCCAGAGAAGTACTTACAGGAAGGTGCTTTGCCAGTAGCACATTATGAAGCCATCCAAGAAGCAGTGTACTGTGGGAAGTTGCCATGGGAAATTGCTGCTTATTGCTGACTATGGGGCACTGCTAAAAGGAAACTTGCATGCTATAAGAGCCCAAGGAGATGAGCACATGAGAACCAGAAAGATAAGCCTCTTCTTCAGTGTGCCCCTTTCCCCCACCAACGTTCTCTACTAACAAAGCCTAATGTCAGACCGACTGGGATGGGAGAAGTACTCACAGAGTTTAGCTCTATTATTGCAGAGCAAGCAAAGATTTGGACCTGAGGGTCAATAAACACAGGGTTAAAAGACTATACTCCACGATGGATTTATATTCTGAAATATTGATATAAAATTACTGTAAAAATTATTGGTGAGCAAAGAAGTTCGCTGAGGTGTGACCTCAGTGGGACTCATTAGTAAGACTCAATACATCATCAATAAATCAACAAACAAGTGTTGGCAAGGATGTGGAGAAAAGAGAACCCTCGTGCACTGTTGGTGGGATTGCCAATTGGTACAGCCA